ATGGCAGGGAAACCTTATGTCCTTTCCATGCATCACAAAGAGATTCACTCTTGCAAGCGAATCCTGGCGAAGGCGAAATTGCTTCTCACCGCTTGAAAAGGGCTTTGTACGCAGAATCTGATGTCAGCTACCTTGAGGTCAAGATGGACGGCTTCGCTGGGTGGCAGCCGGCAGAGACAGTCAACCAGACGGTGCTGAACCGTTACTTTGCAAAACTGGCTGATGGCACCATCCGCCGCAGGCGACCCAAATTTGCAACGAATGGTTGAGCTTTCTTTCTGGCGTCTTCCACGCATCCGAACCAAAGTTTAGATACATATATCATATATATATATATATATTAAATATATATAGATATATTTATTTATTTTCTTATTTATTTATTTATATTTATTAATTTATTTATTTATTTCTAGTTATATGTAACATGTGTATATATATATATAGTTAAATGTATATATATATATATCTTTAAAATACTATTTGAATAAAGAAACAAATAAATATAATATATATATGCGCTTGCATATGTAGTTGATGTGTGTATATATTTGAAATGTTTTCATCACACCCTTTTTCCATTGAACTGATGCACATACACGCGCGCGCACACACACACAAGTTATTGCGCCACCTGTCAGGCGGCAGCGGCGCCAAGAGGTCCGGTCTCAGAAATGGCGTGGCTTCAGGCCCCGGAGCCGCAAGTACTTGGCTCCTTGGTCTTCAGAGCAAGCGCGGGCAGAGAGCTCCTGTCAGACGCACAAGGAAGGCGAGCAGCACGTTGCTGCAGCATCCAAGTCGGCTGGCTTCTTGCTGGCGGTGAGTTCTGGAGGACTTATTTAGCTAGCTCTTATTTTTTTGTTTGAACAAAATCGGGCTTTGCTAGGCATGCTCAGCATTTAGTGGGTAGATTTTGGTCTTGGCTGGGGTTTCTGGTCAAGTCATCACAAGTGGATACCTGTTTTCCTTTCTCATGTGTTCTTTCAAACATGTTTTCCTCGCACTCATCCCTGCAAGGAATGATTGTCGATATTCAAGAGCTGGTGTGTGCAGAAAGTTTATCCCAACGTTATTGTTTTTTGAGTACATTGGCTACTCGCTGGCCACAGCTAGCAATTGTTTGCCACGATGACGCATGTCATCTCAAGCTCTTCGCGCTCCAGCATCGGCGCAGTACTGCCATAGCGGAGAGATTGGCGACAATGGATTTCATTGTGGATCGCTTTCATGCGCCTGGTCACTGTGGGGAATATTGCGCACAGCACTGCTTACCAACCATTGAAGAAAACAAGCGATTGCTTGGAACTTTCCCGACCGAAATCGCAGAGATCGTAAACAGTGAAATGACCCCACTTGGTCATACCATTCACCACATGGGCAAGTTTTTCACGCAACTTGTCGTCAGCGAATGCACGGATGTGCATAATCTAAGTCGCCTCCTGGCTTTGCGTGACAAGCAGCGGGCTGACGCTAAGAAACGTCGATGAGGCACAATCCAACCTTGTTCGACCTTTTGTTTTCGAACTTCTCATGAACCCATCCATACACAGAATTTGAGGTAAACGGTACGGCCAACCCTGTGGGAGAAAGGGAAACACGCGCATTCCCGCGACATATCACTGCGGTTGCAGACGATTTCCATCAGATTTTTTACTTGCTTTCTTGTCACTTTGGAACGCGCACACGGGCGACCAGCTTTGACAGGATGATGCGCCATCTACACCGCTGCAGAGGCCATACTGTCTTCGTATTTAGTTTTTTTTTCATATATATATATACATACGTGGTATCAAATCCCTTTCCAACCCCGAAAAGACATATTTCTCATCCATCAACAAACGATTATATATATATAAATATGTATGGCAAAAGATCCAAGAGGATCATGGTATGGTATTTAATTGCTTCATTACATAGTTATCATAGCTCATGCGGATCACAATGGAAGTGTTGCCATTTGGGGCCTATTTGGGGGAAATATATCTTGGGGGTATAAAATCAACCACACTGATGACATAATAGGGATATCCTTACAGATAACAAACATTATGACATTAGTAAGCCATGTGGAGCACAATCGGAAGGCATTGCGGTATTCAGGCATACCGTACCTTTTTAACGGCTTGAAAGCGAATAAGCATTTCCACCCAGAGACTATGAGGAACATTTTTCAAGGATGTGTAATAGGATATAAACAACTTTTCCGTTGCTATTCGAGACTTTACTAACATTAGGTATCATGCAGATTTTCCACAAATAGCCCACTTCTCTTGTGGCCAGCCATTTTTCTATGTGGGTTCAAATGGATGTTATCCACCGTTTCACTGGGATTGCTCGGAATGATATGTTTGTTCATGAAAGAACAAATAGACAAGTAAATAAATAAGATAAGTATATCTACATATACATATATATATATACGTGTGTGTTTGAGGGCAATTGCAAACTTATATTCAACAATATGCGAATCATCTCCATCTCCTTGCTACCACTACCGCCACCTAAACGTTAATCAGAAGGTGTGACTTGCGAGTCACCCCTGTTTTTCTTTAATGAAAATTAATCCTAGCGCCACTAAATGCATTCTCTATCTAGATACCCTTTAAAACTCAAATTTCGACAATATATTGTGAGAAACTAGTTCATATCTACATGGGTGTCGGGCAACTCTTCTAGAGCCTGGTAAGGCCATTAAACAAGACCGACGATCTCGCTACCCAAACTAGTTATACCCATGCTATGTCCTCATGTACATGTTAGGATCCTATACACCTTTCTTGTAATTCCCATGAGATGTCCAGATATAAGTTTGAGGTCTCACACACCCCTTTTTCTACCTTGGTACAGCTCCACCGAGTGTACCTCACATTCAGGTTCACACCTGCAGCACCGAGACTGGTAGCAGCGAATCGTGAGTTTTGATCGCTTGAGCCTAGCGCGTTAGACCCAACGGCAACGTTTTTTCCCATTATATATTCCGAGAACCTCACTGCACGGTCTCTCATTGCAATTGTTCAAACATGTATTTAAAACAGGAAATTGCGCCATGCCTGGCTCTGATTGAACGTTGCCATGGCTGATCTTGCTTTGGGCTGTGCAGGTGCTATAGTTTAGTCCCATTTGCCTGACTGAGTGGAACTAGGGTCATTGAACATACGCCAGCGATATTTCAGAATTGATTGAAACAATAGTGCGAGTTGATCAAGACCTGCAGAAAACTGTCTGCAGAAAAATGATGTGATTTTAACAGGGGAAAGATGTTGGTGTTTTTCATCATATGCACCGCCTTGTTCTCCGTAAACGACTCCAAGATATTCAAACCGAATAAGTCGGTGAAATCCAAATGGGACATTTCAAGTGGCCAGACTACTTGGAATTCCGGACATCTCTCACGGCATCCAAACGACATTGCTTGACGCGAACCAAAAAATAGTTTTCGAAAATCATTGTTACATTGAAAAGTATTACATTCTAATAGGTTCTTGTTGCTTGTTCAACAGGTTCTTTCCTAATCAATGGTGCATCTCGAGTCCAGTGATTGTTTTCGCCGTCATGATGCTCGTGTACACCTTTTGTTCACTTCTTCCATCTCCTCCTGTGGAAAAAAAAATGTTCCTGGTGCTGGCTTCCCGCAGCTAGTCCATGTGCGAAAGGCGATTGTCAAATAGAGATTTGACAAGAGAGGCAAGAACTGAACTGCATGGGGTGATCATGTTGCTTTTTTTCAAGTGGTAGGGTAATCAGTTTTACGTGTGGGTGGAAATCAGCACAAATCGATGTTTTTGGTTGGAACATACACGGTAGATTTGTTCAAGCAATCTTGCGCCGCATACAGGACAGCAAAACGCTGCTTGATGTATATGGCTGATATTAGCTGCAAGCAAATTACCATCAACTTCCCCCTACCTTCCCCCTGAGGTAGCAGTCCCCGGTATTTCGGGGCCCTGGATCTAAGCTAGGAAGTTATGAACACTTGTGGTCAACTGTCGGAGGGTAGCACCTTTTTTGCAGCTATGCTAGCAAGTCTTGAGCCACGGAGTGGCGCAGTGGATGAAATGAATTAAAGTCAACATGTCACATTAAAGTAACATGAATTAAAGTGAAGTTTAGATGCGTTGTGTGGACACGTCCCCAAAAGTAGGTTATACACCCCCCGCCAACCCACCAGCCACAAATCCCGCCCAGCCGGCCAACCGGCCATCCGGCCACCCCGGCCATCCCGGCCACCCGGCCACCATCCCTATACCGACCACATCGGCCATCCGGCCATCCGGCCATCCGGCCATCCGGCCACCCGGCCACGGCCACGGCCACCCGGCCACCCGGCCACACGGCTATATTCACCATGGCACCCGGCCACCCGGCCACCCGGCCACCCGGCCACCCGGCCACCCGGCCACCCGGCCACCCGGCCACCCGGCCACCCGGCCACGGCCACGGCCACTTCCCCCATCGCCCCGGCCACGGCCACGGCCACCCGGCCACGGCCACGGCCACGGCCACGCACGAAAAAAAGCAATCCTCAGGTTGTCATTGTCATTTTGCGGTTGGTCGTGTGCATGGTGATGCTTTGTGATGTTATTCCGCTATCTCATTTCGTCACAGCGCCATTTATTAAAGATGCTTTGGCCAGTCCCTGTCAGTGTCCCACTGTTGGGGTTGCCCGATGATGCTTATAGCAGTTGCCTTTTTGCTACACCTATGTTGTGAAGCATCAGTGAATTGCTCATATTGAGGGATGGTTCTGCTAAATTGACGCCAGAACTTTTGCCAAGAAAAACATGCGTAGGCCAAGCTGGAGGAATTTGCCCGATACATTGATGAGTTATTCCCACCGGACTCCTCGTGCTTGGCTCAGTTGTGCAGCTACCCCTTCTGCTCCGAGTTTCTCAGTTGCGTGGCTGGAGAGAGTAAATCTTAGCATGTGATCCGCTCCTGAGCCACAAAGGAAAAGTTATGTGTCAGAGATCGGCACCGGTCCCTGTTTCGCACGTCCCTACATGCTGGGCTACCGCAAGGATTTCGGGTACTCTGGTATGTCTGAACCCGACCAGTTGATCAACATGGTGCAGTTGATCATCACCAATGGGTTCTTCGGATCTCATGAGATGAGCTCCGGTTTTCTTTTCTTATTGTTTGCTTGAGGCATTCGTCACATGCGGGTTGAACTACATTCACGAGACTTGTCCACATTGAACACTCGAGTCTTGAGATCAGGTTTCGATCCAATCCAGACCTCGGTGGCGTGGAAAAGTTGACCATTTGTGACCCGGGTGCTTCGCAAATGTTGGATGCCCCGTATGTGGCGATGAAGCCGCTTCACCCAGACCGTCCTAGTCTCGGTCTGTACTTGTTTGCACACCTTCGCTTTTGCCAGTCCCTTTGTGCCAGTTGGAAATACAACCATTAAGTGGTTGCCGGTGCTGCTCAGGTGGTGAGCTTCCTCCGTTTTCCATCGGTTTCGTCAAGGGATGGAAACGTGCAATGTCCTTGCTCACAATTTGTGCTGGTGCCAAGATTCTTGGGATGACGGCTGGGGACCTGCCCGAGCGGCTGGTCGTGGCTTGATTGTGACATTGTTTTTGCAGACACACAGCAGTGAGATAAAGGACTTATCAATCAGATTGTTGATGTTTTTCGAAAATGGTCCAGTGTGAAGCAAAGAGAATGGGACTATCCATCAGCTTGTTGATCTCTTGCACAACCAAGGTATCGGCAAGGACGGTGTACTGTACTGCGCCGGCCTTTGGGTCACTCCGCGACCAAGTTTTCGCAAACAGGGGGATCACCTTACAGAGCACATCTACGCGACGTCCTCCACACTGCTTTAATTTCTTACGGCAGGTGGAGTGCTTGGCGAAAGCCGGGTATGGGGGTGCCACGTCCCAATTCGAAGTTGCTCATCCCAAGTTAAGTTTTCGTGTTGCGCCTTGAAATAGAGGATTCCTTTGTTTCATTGTGCATGTTACCCAGGAACCTTGAGTTACAGACACAGACTTTGTTTGGAGTCGACATATTTTTTGTCCTGTGGCCTTGACCCCTTTCTTGCATTTCTTTTGACAAAATGCCATGAAGCTAGGCTTAGGTCTCATGGTGCCAGGTGTGACCTTGGGGGTTCCCTGGTGTGGTATAAGTGTTTCACTTTTGTCATGGGCTGGAGGCTCAAACTGCATCTAAATCTAAAATTTATTCTTATTGCTGCAAGATGCGATGCTAGGCCCAAGCGGTCTCCGCAATGGAGGCCGATCAGGATTTTTTTGAAATAATAAAGGAGGATATTGCGCGTACCTTTGGCCCAGCGCCTTGCTGTGGCAATTTTTCAAAGCGTTGGGGAAAAACAGGTTTCAAAGCTTATCCCTTGGAATGGTCATCAGCGCTGAGACTTTCCAGCCTTGCAAGCCCTGAAGCCTTCAAACCCTAAAAGCTTCAAACCCTACCCCTTCAAATTAAATGCGATAATCCACAGTAAAGCCTGCTTTGCTTGAGTGAGATTTTAAGGCGTCTACAATCAAGGCAAGCCACCAGATTTCTTTGGAAGAAAGTTTTTTGCCACCAAGTTTGGATGCATGCCAAGGATTGGTCCAACAGCACTGCCGTCTGCAGGGCGTTCAACATTGGAAAGTGGGAGGGGGCCGCGGTCTCTGCTCTTCAGTCCAGCATTGAAAAGCCGGTGGTTGCAATGCTGAAGGATTTCGTCGCCAAGAGGGGCATGAAGGGTTTTCTCTCGCACGAAGTGCTGGGGCGTGGGATCTTCAGCACCGGCTGGACCAGTGGCAGTGGTCCGACGGAATCCTGGAATGTAGTGATGACCAACACTGATGATGGGGCTTTGGCAGCTCAGCCTTGTTGTGACAAGCATGGGTTTAGTAAGTTATATTTTCTAGGCCAGGGCCAAGCTTCAGTAAATTTTGCAGTGGCTCAGATTTACAGTCGAGGTGAAGCTGCTCCTGGAGCGGTATTGTCGTGATTGGGATGGCCTTTCGGACCAAATGAAGTGGAGCTTCACCTTCAAGGAGGTATCGCTGCTCCACCAGCATTGCGCTATGTTTCTCCATTTTCTCGGCATCCTGGAAAGTACTTTGCCGCGTGCGCAATTCCCTGCTGCGCGCGAGAGGTCGATGAGCGTTTTCATTCTTGGCGGAATGGATGCCGAACTGAAGCTCCAGTCAGAGAAAGCGGTCCCGCCAGGTGACTTGCGCGGTGTTGGTGCGTTCAGGACGGGTTTGAAAACGAAAATAAAATTTAAATCAGTCTCAAGTGAGCTGTTCCCCTGCCAGGAACTTGGTTGTCACCCATGAATCTTCGCAGGCACTAGAACAAGAAGAGAAAGCGCAAGAACTTGCCCAGAAGGTGGCCCGAGCCACGTTGGATCAACTCAAGGGGCAGCTTGAAAGTGATTTGGTGCGAATCCGGAGCCAGCTTCCCACCAAGGAGAGTCGAACTCGGGAGACTGCGCTCGATGTGAAATATTTGAAGGAGAGGCAGCAGAGCCTTGGTTTGCCAATCAAGGTCTTAGTTTGCGGGTGGTGTTTCCTTGTTTGAGGTGTTTCCTTGATTGAGGTGGCGTAACCCGAAACGGAGTAGCTATTTCCACAGTGCTTGTGTTTGGCGGACGGCTAAGGAAAGGGTATGAGTTTGTTGAGGAGTGGATGGAGAAGCACTGCCGCATCGTCTACGTTTCCATGAGGGATGATGGAGATGGATCCAACATGCATGGCACCCTCAGTGGCTTCACGAAGTACATCTCAGAGCAGTTTGGGGGTGGCCCTGGGACTGTGTGCTTCGCCTAGAACCCAGGTGTTTTCTTTCTCCATGTGAAAGCTTTGATTGTTTCCAATACGAGCGTCTATATTTTTCCACCTCTTTTTCCTGCCATGTGCTGCATGCAGATTGGCAGGACGTCTGAATCCTTGTCGGGCCCGAACAGTATACTGTTTAAGATGTAATTCTAATTATGGCAGCAAACTGCCAGATAGATTGTGTTTAGGAATCAAACTTATTCTGAAATGTCAGAAAAAAGGGCCAGGCAGCATGTGCGATACATTGCGGGATAAACCCATAAGAATATTTCAGATAGAATCATAGAATGCCACTTCTGCAAAGGTCGGGATACTATTTTTCAGGCAGATGTCAAATAGAATGGCAGATGTAAATATGCCAGGATGGAAAATGGCAGGTAAAATGTCATTGTCAGCCCCATACATGCTTCATAGTAGATGAACGAAAGATTCTACAGAATCTCAAACGCGAATGTTAAGATTGCCAGTTTTTAGCGCCAGAAAAAATGCAAGAAACATGTGTAGTAGTGCAAGTATGTCAGATAGACTGTCAGAAAAAATCACCAAGATTGCCATGCGAACTGAATGCCAGGAACTATCTAAAAGGTGGAAATGTCAGGTAGAAATTGTCAGATGAATTGACAATCAGAATGTCAATGCATGCCAGAAAAAGATGCGACATAATTAGCATGTGGCAAATTAGAATGCCACAAAAACATCAATAGCAATATTGCTATGTAACTTGCATTATATGTATATGCACACACATTTCAATTTGTTTATAATATACATATATATATATTATACATACTAAATGTTTTTTCAATAGTATCAAACTGTTTAATGCGCAGTATGTATAATATTCAATGTATATTTACAAAACGATTTTACAATAATTATATATGGTTTTTTTCGCGAGCAACGTGGTTCGTTGGGAATAAGGGATTTCTAAAACACAAGGTATGACCCTGACCCCGTCCTTGTTGGTAGCAGTTGGGAAGGAACTTTGGCATTCAGGCGCTGTGTGTAGCTTTGTGGTAGGTTAAAACTAATCAGGAAAAAAAAAGAAATCAAATTTCTGAGATGACCCAGGAACGGAGTTCGCCGGAGTTCGTCGGAGTTCGTCGGGGTTCGTCGGGGCCGAATTTGCTACGTGAAAATGTTGTTGCCAAAGTGGAAACACTGGTTATAAAAATGCAATTTTACTTTCTGCGTGCTGTGTTTCCATGCGTTTTAGAGGCGAAAACGTCAAAACACACGTAGGAAATGTTTGGACATCTTTGCGCGCAAGGTTAAGTTCGTCGGAGTTTGTCGGACTTAAAGTTTTACAGACTGCGTAAAGATCTTTACCAAACGTGTCACGAATATTCTTTCCAAGGCCAGATTGAAACTGGAAATTCTTATTGTTCTGCTGGTCCACCTGGTTCAGTCTTATGCATTTCGGCAGACCTTATTCCCTACGAACCCGCATGCTCGCGAAAAAACCCAATTATATATATATCTATTCATATATAAATATAATATTCCTTTAATACAGTATATATATATACATTTTTGAAAATAGATACATAATTATATACAAATATTTAATTTTTGTAGTGATAGGCAGATAGTATGGATAGATAGTTAGACATATATATATATGTATGTATATATATATATATGTTAAATGTATATATATATACAAATATGTATGTATACACATGCATATTAAATATCAATAATATAGTAATGACTGCTAATGATAATAATAATCTTCATAAGTATCATAATCTTAATTATAGTAATGTCATTTGGTGGGGTCTCCCGGCGACAGTAATTCATTACTGTAATTCATTTGTTTATTATTATTGTCCGGCTTTTTGCCCATCAGGTATGTCATGTGCAGCATCGATGCGACCGTTTGGCCAGCAAACACCCAGTACCTGTTGGATTGTGTGTCGCTACTCCAAAACGTGTGTGCATTGGGCCCTCAGAATTGCGGCCACGTCCAGAACCCATCATTCCACCAGGCAACGACGATGCATGCGTTGATCAAGCATGCTCGGCGACTTGAAGATGCCCTCCTCAAGACCGACCTCGACATTACTCAGAAGGTCACATTGCTTTTTTCCAAGGATGCCAACCGACCGGGAACCGACAAACGTCCTTTGACCCAGTCCTGTGTCAGTCCTTTTGCGACAAAGGTTTGCAAGTGGCAGGAGTCTGAAGCACACCAATCCGGCATCCTGCAAGGGTTGCCACTTGTGAAGGTGTCCGACATGGAGGGTTATGATCCTGAGAACGGTCAGCGCCCTGGAGCAGCTGCCCGGTTGGAGCAGAATCTGGGTTTGAGTTGGTAACTTCTATGTCCCCCTGCCTTGTGCTGTTGTGACTTTTCCTCATTTTTTTGGCGTTTTTGTTGCCATGAATTCAAGTTTGATTGCCTGTTCTGCCGTCACGACTTGAGTTGTGGAACCGACAAGCAAGGAAGGGCATTGCCTGCCATCGTATGATTGTCGAAGGGTACCTGAAGGGCATGCCGTTCGATTGTGAGAATGATTGCGTGGTTTGGCTCGATGCGTTGCCCAACACGTGGCTGGCCTTTGCCACGTATTTTATGTCAATGTATGTTTTTTTCTGGGAGCAACTGTCGTATTGTACTTTTTTCCAGAAGCGAACATTTTGCAAATTTGTTGGTTCTTAAGCCTGGCCAGGTACGCAGAGTTCAGCAAGGCAGTTGTCGACATGGCATTGGAGCCGCGTCAGGCTGGCCTACCAGAAGTCATCTACTATGGCATTTTCAGAGAGGATCCAGAGAGCAAACCTGGAGCACCTGCGATTCACAAGAAGGTGCAGGGCGAAATCGAAGCCAAAGTCTTTCAACATTGGGATGCCTTGTCGACCTCACCGGCGAAGACAAGGCCAAAGCCGCAGACCAACCGGTGTGTGGAAGGCTTGTCATTGCTCAGCTCCACCGACCAGGGCCCTGTCTGGCCAGGGAGTTTGGATTCCAAGTTCAATGCAGAGTCAGCCGAAGGCAAGGAGCTGCTGGCGCTGAAGCAGGCTTTCCTTGCCGAATTTCCTCCCTCTGAGGCAGCCCGTGGCCAAGGAAACCGGACCACGCCAGCTCAAGTGCGAGCCACTGGCCAACCAGACTTTTCAGTGGAGGGCGGGCAGGAACCTCTTGACGTGAGCCGCCTGGTTGATCTCTTGGTCGAAGCAGCCCCTCCTCCCGCAGACAGGCAGGGTGCAAGTTTTCTTTTGGGGGATTTGTGGCTTTCAACGGATGAAAGCTGAAGTTGTGCGCATGCTTCTTGTGATTAGAAAGTTTTTCAATTTCAAAATTGAGGGCTCCAGCCGTCATCATACTAATTGTTTGTGAGCTTTTGTGTCAGATTCTGTAGTCACATGCAAATGTTGTTTGTGGCAGGATTGCTTGCGTCGTCGGACGAGGAGCCCGCCCCTCGGTGCTCATTGACAAGCACTACCGCATCTGGCTTGGAAATCCGAATGCGGATGGTGAATGCACTTACTCAGGAGAGTTATTCGGTTTCAATACTGGCAGCTTCGAATTTAAAGTGGTGAGGCAGCACAACAAGCGTGATGTATCTGGAGTGGCGTGGAGGGTGGTGTCCGACATGGACCTTATCGTCGTGGACAAGGTTGCCACCCCCTTGTGCCGCTACCTCCACTCTTGTGCCGTGAATCACGGCTTGGGTGAAGTGTCCATCTTGGAACATGTGGTTGAGCCCAAGCTCCATGCAGCGGTTGCTGGCCGCAACTTAAGATGCTGTTCGCTTGCCTCTTTTTAGTTTGGGGGCTGGACAATTTTCTTAAAGTTGATTGGTTGTGAACAGTTTCTTTTTCCGAAGCTGGTGCAATTTGAGGTTGAAGGGGAGCAGGAGCAGGTCCCAGTTGCATACCGTTACAACATTCACCCCGTGACCTCCCTCCGGACCAACGTGTTCCGTGCCAACCCGTTGCAGCAAACTTCCGAGATCAAGTTCAACAATATGGGAGCTTCCTGGGTCGGGAAGTGGGAGCAGCTCCCAGAGTCCAAGATTGTGGATGTGCTGTGGGAGGCTGCAGGATTAGTTCAAACGGGGGGTGGACTGATTGAACTTGGTGGCTTCGAAGCTTTACCTCGCGTGCAGTGAGTTTTGAAATCATTGGTTGTGCATTTATATTTTGTAACAGCTCTGTTTATGTAGACTTCTTCTGGCAGGTACAGTTGCAAGGCAACAAGATTGTGCCGGTCAAGCCGAAGATGTACCTGACGGCCATGGTGAAAGTCCCACCCGAATCTTGGGTCCAGCTGCCGTGATGCTCTTGTGAAGATTTCGGATAGATCTTTGCACTTTGACCTATGAGGCAGTTAGGTTTTGGATCAGTTGGGCTGCTGGCATAATTGAGTATCATGTCTTGTGGTAGCTCAGTCTCTGGACTTTATGGCAGTCTTGCAAGAGTCTTGGGTCACCGGGTGACCGCCCCACCGTTTTGCAGTATGAGACTTGCGCAGCCCAACTTTGATTTTCCAGAGACTTGAACCACCGGGGTTCAAACGTGAAAGCTGGCAGTTCCACATTGACCCGTCGTGTGTGGAAAATGTGGCAAGTGATCGACAAGACAAGTCATTTGTTTGTTTTCTTTTTGCTCGTGAATGCGCCAGCCAGGGTTTTTGTTCGCTAGGCTGCTGACCTTACTGTAATTTCGAAGATGTCGTGCATTCTGTCCATGCAGTTAGTCACATGTCAGCAGCGATTGGTCAATCAAACCTGGATCGTTAGTAAGTCAGTACCTGCTTTCGCAAACATGTCCGTCCTGCCGTCCATCGAAATGTTGACTGATGATGAAGACAATGGCACTAGCGCCAGCAAGGAGCCAGCTGAAAAACCAGCACCTGAGGAGCCCAACAAGCCACCACCCAGGACCAAGGGGACAGCCAAGGCCACGCCTAAGGCCACGCCCAAGGCCACGCCCAAGGCGAAGGGAGCAGCAAAGACCACCAAGTCCAACAAGAAAGGGAATCCCCCTGCTACTCCGCCGCCTGCTGTTCCCAAGGCGTTCCCGGTTGATGTTGGTGTTACATGTGTTCAACCTTGTTTGCCCAAGGTTTAAGTTTCCAGTTCTGCGTGTCCACCTCTCTGCCAGGAAATGGCTGTGAGCACACCAATGAAGAGGCCTGCCGCAAAAGCTGGCGGTGACATTAAGATCAGCAACCCGCAGTTCCACAAGAGCGGCAACTCATGGACCTTGAAGAGTGGCCCCAAGCAAGTGATTGCTGTGCCTTGCTTGTGACTGTTTCCAAAGAGCGACTGGTATTTGTTGTGTTTGACTGTGGATCCTGACAGAGCTTGCAGGCAATTTTGTATGTATCTCAGATGCGTGGGGGCGCTGTGCTTCTTGGGCATCGGGCTGCAGGTGGGTGGCCACCGATATGACGTGGCTGAGACCAAGAAGATTGCGGCCAAGACCTCAGCCTTGATTCGATTCGATTTGGCCACTTCAGCCCAAGCAACTTATTTCACTGATGAAGCAAATATTTTTCATTTTCAAACTCTGTTTCCATGCTCAGGAAATTCTCCGGCAGCACTTCTTGCAAGGTGAAACTAAGCAGCAAGTGGAGGAAGTGAAGGCTGGGGATTCAGTATGAATCAATTCAGGATGCAATCATTGTTTGTATATACCCATAATTTGGGAGTAATAGCGCTCGACTTGGAGGCCGCTTTGTTGGCCAAGCTGAAGCCGCTCGATGCTGCAGATCGAGGCAGCGCTCCGGAATCAAAACCATTGAAAATTATTTTGGCTGCCGTTTCCAGCTTGGTGCTTGCAACTTTCCAATTTCAAAGTTGGTAGTTCCGATCCCTGAGGCACGAAGCGCGGCCATGAGAACAAAGGCAATCAGGACGAGACCGCTGATGAGGGCAAGCCGGCCACTCCGAGTTCTAGCAAGATTGGCTCCAAACTGCCAAAGAAGTTTCCGGAGAAGAAGCCAGCGATCAAGGAGACACCCCAGGAAATCGAAGCTGCAGTGGAAGAGGAAATCGATCCCAAAAAGGAGGAAGCGGCAGAGGCAGAAGCAGAGCAGAAGGAAGCTGCAGAAGGGGAAGAGGAAGATGCGGTGGACGATGACCAAGTCGTTGACCCCGAGCCCGCCGATTCCAAGCAGCCCGCCGATTCCCAGGATGTTGACTAGGCTGTCACCTATATTAGTTGTTGCTCAGTCAGTTGCTTGATCTTAGCTTGTGGATCGCTGATCTGTCGTGCTGCTTACGGTGGGAAAAATGGCGCGCACAATGTGAGCTAGGTTGGGCAGCAGCCAGGTTGGACAGCAGCCAGCATGCCTTGCAACTGCTTTTCTACTGTTACAGACTGTTATGGATCATTGTAGTGCACCATGGTTCAAGTCAGTTTTAATAGGGAGATTGTTCACAGCGGCAAAGCCCGGGAATTATAGCGTTGAAATTCATGGGGGCCTGCGCCAGCAAGCCTTTGGTTTTCGAAGCTCTGAAGACCTATTTCAAAAGCCTCCCCGAAGAGGATCGCCGAATGATTGGCCAAGCTTTGGCCGCAGCAGATCAAGAAGTGCAAGTACCAGTGAGGACTTCAGGCAGTTGCTCGAGCTGTGCGTGGCTTCCCTGCGCACATTGCACTGTAGGTTTGCCTCACACAGTTTGTCTTTGCGAGGCTTGCAACCCAGGGCCACGCTTGGTGTGAAGTTTGCAGCGAAGGGCCGCGCCCTTGATGTGCAGTTTGTAGTGCACGGCCGGAATCTTTGAGACTGACTCTTTAGATGCGTTGGCCGGAAAAAAAGGGCATATGCTTTCAAGCAAACAGGGCTGGGCCCTTGGTGTGGTCTTTCAACAACATTTTCTCTTGCTAAAGATTTGACAAAGGGTCTCTTGAGAAAATTTGATGTCCATGAGTCTTCTGTATTTCTGGGACCCTTGCAGTTCGATGTCGGTGTATGTTGCCGAGTGAAGGGTTCCTGGATATCCACCGCTTTCTGCAAGAATTTATCTTGCGGATTGCAGCAGTTATGTCCTTGACATGCACCGCTTTCTTGTACACGCTTGCTCGGCGCCAGCATTCTCATACTGTGCGCAAAATTAAAAATCAAGTGCTGGGAACGCTGCTGACAAGAACTAATTTCAAACTTACCAGGTTACCAGGACCGCAAAAATGAAAAGCTTGTCACGTTTTCGGATTTCATGTTGATGTCCTGAATGTTTGGCGAACGACGTAACCCGAGCGATAGCGCGGCGATTATATCAATATTTGTTTTTTCTGCTTTGCCAGATGAATGGGCTAGCCGGATCTGAACTGTTGTGTTTGCGTGTTTGTGTGGGTGTGTTATTACTACTGAGATAATAACGCTGCCCTGTCTCAAACTAAGAAAATTACCTTCTCAAAAAGAATAACTTAAACATACTTAAACCCTTAACCCTAAACCCTGAACCCTTAATAATACCTAATTACCTTCACTTGAAAAAAGTTAACAAACCCTAGCCCCCAAACCCTAAACCCACCAACCTTCGAAATTCAACCCTCAACCCTAATTACTTCAAAAGGAAACTCTGTCATACATGTTTGAAGTTTCTGTTGTTGAAAGCTTTGGAGTTTAGCAGCAGCTGCGGAGGGGTAAGTTAGAATGTCTGTGTTATACACAGCACATGGGTGCTTCACCAGCCGCATGGGTTTTGGATGTCTTTTGTGTGAATATCCAATGACCACAGGCATGCTAAATAGCCGTAGCAGCAATGCAAGGCAGCCTAATAGGGAGAACGGGCAGGGTGGCTTCAGGCAGGCCAAAGCCATAGAAACACATGGCAGCTGACGTTGAGTGTCAGAAAGCAAATCACGACTATAGGAACCATTGGCAGCGGAGCACTAGGGAAACACCCGGCATGGAGGGCTGAGTAGAGTAATGCATGCTCTATGCAGCTCATGGAGTATATGAGTTGCATGAAGAGTATTAGGACCAGGATTTGGAACCCCGATTCATTATGGAACCCCGATTCAAGGGAAAATTCTTTCCTGACGAATGCCAAAGCTCTTGGACTTGATTGTCCAACTTCAGCGACACCGAACAGTACCGGTGAAAACTCTTCAGAAGATTTTGGGATTAATGCTATGGGTCACACAATTATTTCCATATCTTCGAATCTGGCTGCATTACCTTTTTCGAGACCTCCACAGCATCCCAGCTACACAATACAGCTTGGATCCCAGCCAACTATTGGAGTTTCGCAATTCATTGACGGAAGACCTCATCTTCTCCGTTCGCCCTCCAGGTACAGCTATACCACCGGGCAGTAAACTTTTGGAGATGCGCCACAAACCAATCCAGAAACTGAAGGATATCCGTCATGTATTTCTTTCAGACAAACGACTATGAGTTCGTGTACGGGATCCGGAATCCACCAAACGAAAACTTTGTGAAGATTCAGTTCGCATGCTGTCTCAGTACAAAGAATGGATTCGATATCTGCCTCCTCTCCGGACCATGTGGCCTAAGTCCATATGGCCTCATGCAGCTGCTGCAGATGCGAGTGCACATGGTGACATCGCTCGCATTGGAGGATTTGTCACAATATCCAATGACATCACCTACTGGTTTTCAGAATCTTTCACTGTTACAGATTTTCAACAGGTGTCCATTCCGGTCAATACCAACATGCAGAGAGACATCGTCAGCTTTGAGACCCTTGCACAAATTGCAGTGGTCAGCCTATTAGCACAACATTTTCCTTCCTGCAGGTATCCAGTATGTATCCACAGCCTGTCTGACAACACCGGTGCCGAAGCGGGATCAAATGCCTTATTTTCCACACAATTGCCACAATGTCTTTTTCTGGAACGACTATGTTTGTTGGCTTCGATATCGGGCATCGATTTGGGCCACATTGCTGGATCCCGCAATGAATTGGCCGATGCACTTTCTCGAATGACCAACTTTGACCACCTTCCACCTAGCATCCGGCCTGAACATCGCATTCGATTCAAATTAGATCAGCTCTGGCACTCACCACGTAGTGCATCTTTGCACCCATCAAATGCTTATATTTCTTGGCAACTCCCCATTGGAACTAGCTGAATAAAATCGCTTTCTTGTGGGGGACTATTGGCGTCTTTTATTCATACCTGATAGTTTAATTGTGGGAAATCTGGCCATCAGGTATAAATGTCATCTGGCTGTTGGAAAATCCAATCAACTGGCTATGATGTGACATCGAACAATTCAGCAAGTGCCAAAAAAGGGGAGATGCAGCGTTTGAGTGACAGCAGTTTCATTGCAGAATGGTTTCACGTTTTGCGGCGAAGTTTTATCTAGAAGTTTCCACGGCGTTTTGCTTTAATATATTTTATATAAGCGTGTTATATAATAGCGGTAAAATAAAAAGTCACACTTGAACTGTACTCATCGCACCCATGTACCGTACCAGTCGTACCCAAGTACTGTACCAATCATATCAACGTACCGTACCATGTTCTGCACCCGTCGCGCTTGCAACATGTACCCGGTTAGCGGCCGATCTAGCAGCCGATCTAGCAGCTTATGTTAACTTATCTTAAGTTAAAGTTATATTATCTTAACTTGACAAGACAAAGATATCGCTTGCTAAATCAGCTGCTAAGTAGGTACATCACATAACAACGATGGGTGCAGAACATGGTACGGTACATGGGTCATTGACCTCAGGGGTGCATGGCTGATGACTACGTGACTCTGTGACACT